ATGTAAAAGTTGTCTTTTGTAGCATGAAAAACTAAGATGACAAATTGCTTAAAGAGATGAGGTTTGGACCAGAAGTGGCAAACTTGTCCTGTTTGCTAGATAGTAATATTTTAACATCCTGCCTAGGTCCTTGCAACAGCTCAGCGATGTCACTGTAGCACAAAAGCTGTTCAGACAGTGCTTAAACTGGGTGTGTCTGTGTTCTGCAGCTTTCTTGTTTACAGAAATGTGTCCCACCCTAGACCGGAATTTGCCAGCTCTTCAGTCATTAATTGTTCATCTGGTGTGGTAGCACATGCCTTTAATCCCAGTACTCTGGAAACACAGGATGGTGGAGCTCTGTGAGTTCATGGCTAGCCCTGGCTACATAGAGTTCCAGACTAACCAGGACTACACAGTGAGATCCTGTCTCAAATAAACACACAAAATCTTGTTATGGGGCCAATGAGATGACTCAGCCTGTAGGAGCACTTGTTGCCAAGCCTGATGACCACAGAGAAGGAGATAACAAGTCCCACAAAGTTGTCTTCTAACCTATAAAATAAATAAATAAATAAATGGTCATAGTTTACCAGAATCCTCTGAGATCTGTCACTTATAATTTGTACTAACCATTTAGAATAAGGTAGAGTAGATTGTGTTTACTGTTTTTTTTAATGATCAGTAAATAAAAACAAAAGAGTACCTAAGGCTGATCTACTTGGAGGGTATGCAAAGAAAATTAGAATCTGTCTTTGTCCTTCTCGCCTATGTATTGAAAAAGATAGCCAGGCATGACGACCTTTAGTCCTGGTATTTGGGAGGCAGAGACAGGTGGATCTCTGAGTTTGAGGCCAGCTGGTCTCAGAGTGAGTTCCAGACCATCTCATGTCCTTTGCCTAGAATGTTCAGTACTGAGACATAGCCCCTTCCCTCCTTGTCAAACACAAACCAAAAAGCAGTAAATGCTTTGGCAGCCATAAACAGATAAAAAGTAAGATTTGGGCTGGTTTGGATTTCTTTGCAAAAACTAAAAACAACAACAAAAAGAAAAGTAAAGCAAGCTGGGCATGTTTGCACATGCCTTTTATCCCAGCACTTGGGAGGCAGAGGCAGACAGATCTCTGTGAGTTCAAGGCCAGCCTTGTCTACAGAACAAGTCCTAGGACAGCCAAGGCTACAAAGAGAAACCCTGTCTCTAAGAAAGGGGGGGGGTACAAAAAAAGTACAATTTTCAAAATATGTGCAATGGGGGATGGCTCAGTTGTTAAGAGCACTTAATATCCTTACAGAGGACCTGGGTTCAAATCAACTCCCATCATCCACATGACAGCTCGAAACTGTCAGTAGCTCTAGTTCCAAGGGATATGACACCTCCTTCTGGCCTCTGCAGGTACAAGGCAGGCAGCCAGTGCACTTAATTACATGTAGATAAAACCGCTCATACATATAAAATTAAAATATATAAAGGCAATGGAGCTGGGTATGTGACAGACACATACCTGTAATCCCAGCACTTGGAGAGAAGTGCAGGATGGTCTCTGGAAATTCAAGTCCAGCCTGGTCTAGATGGTAAGGTTCCAGTTAGCTGGGACCACGTAATTCAGATCACATAGCTGGGACCCGGTCTCCAAAAACAAAACAGAATAAGTGAAATAATTGACACAAGGAAATTAACAGCTGTGCATTTTGGTACATACCTCTAATCCCAGCATGTAGGAGGCCGAGGCAGGAGGATCAATGATTTAAGGTAATCCAAGATCCTATCTCAAAAAAACAAAAGAAAAAAACAAAAGAAATTAATAATTATCAAAAAGTTATTGCCTCACTTCAGTGTAATTTTATCTTGATAAGGGGAATAATTTTCTCTAAAAACATTTTCTCCAGTCAAAGTGGACCACAGACATATTGGAAATCTAAAATAAACAATTGAAAAAAAATATAGGAAATAGCAGAAGCATATGTTTTTTTTTTTTTTTTTTTTTTTTTTCTGGAGCTGAGGACCGAACCCAGGGCCTTGCGCTTGCTAGACAAGCGCTCTACCATTGAGCTAAATCCCCAACCCGCATATGGTTTTCTAGGTGAATTCTTTTGCATTTTAGATTTTTGTTTAAGACAGGTCATATTTTATAAGCGAATTATACTAAAATGGTACAGTACAGTTCGAGAGCTAGTTAAAGGTCAGTCTTACCCTTAAAATATTTGAATTTAGTAGGAAATTCTTTTTAGCATGAGAGCATGAGAAGAAACAGCTAGGAAGTCTGTAGATGAAGTGATCCAGGACTGGCCTTGGGTGACGCCCATGTTGTTTTGTCTTTGGGTAGTGGCTCACACGTCCTTTGAACCCTGTAGCCATACCCTTGGCATTTCCTCGACAGTTGCTGTAAGATGTTCCATGTCTGTATTTTGCAAATTCCTGACGTAGACCTAGAATTGATCTTTTCTCCAGCTGCTGGCTACTGTGCATGGGAAACCGTATTTCAGCAGCACACTGGGTATTAGGGATGCTCGCTGTGACTGCTGTGGTCCAGTTCTAGGCCTCCTTAGCAGGCAGAGCTTCCTCCGTTGTATGTGTGTGAATGTATGCAATACATAGGATTTGAAGGCTGGACAGATGGCTCAGTGGTTAAGGCTTACTGTTGTTACAGAGGGCCCAGGTAGGTACCCAGCACCCTCTTGGCTCACAACCATCTGTAACTCCAGTTTGAGGGGAGCTGAGGACCTCTTCTGACCTCTGTGGGCACCAGGCACATACATGATGCATATACATACATGGGAATAAAACATTCATACACATAAAATAAAAATAAATAAATCTTTAAGAAATATGAAAAGAATGTAGATATGGAGAAATGTATTTTTAGGCAGTTTTGTCATTGTGTAAGCATTATAGAGTATGATAACATAAACCTAAATGATAAAGCCCCTTATATAGTATATGCTATCATATGTTTGGTCTGTCATTAACCAAAATATCTAGTGAGGAATGTTGGTATATGCCTCTAATACAAGTACACAAGAGGCTGAGGTAGGAGGATAATGAGCTTGAGGTCAGCCTGGGCTACATACTAAGATGCTATCTCAAAACAAATTCCAACCCTCCCCCAAAATTCCCACATTGTGATTATTGAGAATTTTATAAATATATGTGTGTGCATCTTACACATGTGTACAGTCATAGCTTAGGTGGATGGATAGAAAGACAGGTAGCAGTAAGCAAGGAATTCTAGTGAAGGCTGGGCATCTTTAATCCCAGTACTTGGGAGGAAGAGGCAGGCCAGTTTGGTCTACATAGAGAGCTCCAGGCCAGCCAGTGCTTCATAGCAAAGCATTGTCTAAAACAAGAAAAAATTAAAATAGAGAACATTTTTATCAACCCAGAAAGTTATCTGTGTCCATGTGCAGTCAATGTCTATCCTCAGTCCCCAGATAACTACTGCTGACCCACTTTGTCATCATAGATATTCTTTTCCTGGACATTTTCTTTTCAATAATAATAAATAACCACATAGAACAGTCTGCTATTTCAGATAAGTTCATGATTTCCGTTCTCTAATGGACCTCTTATATGACACTCTGGGGGGTTTGTTTTTTGTTTGTTTGTTTTTAAATAGGACTTGGTGGTGTTTGAGCATCAGTGGACAAGCTTCTTTGCTAATTTTGACACAGAAATCCCTTTCCTGCTGGAACTTTCAGAATCTCAGGCGGGTGAGGTATGTAAGTAAAAATCATAAAGAAAAAGAAAAATTGGTTAATGTAGCCTGAATCTTAAAATGTTCTTATTAATAAGATCAAACCTGGGGCCAGTTTTTGGGGTGAATGCTGGAAGATCAGAGAAGCAGAACAAGTCACAGCTACCTCACCTTGCCAATTCCTCAGCTGATCTTGTTTCCTCAGACTGGAAGCCTCTGAGTCCTTTTCCAAATGGATCTCAGCTGAACTGCTTCTCGAAAGCCTGAAAAGCTTAACCAGCCAAATGCTTCTAGTTTCTGGTCTTCACACCTATGTACCTTTCTGCTTTCTGACATCACTTCCTGGGATTAAAGGCATGAGTCACTATGCCTGGCTATTTCCAGTGTGGCCTTGAACTCACAGAGATCCATGCCTCCAGAGCTAGGATTAAAGGTGTGAGTGCCACCATTTTCTAGCCTCTGTATTTAGTGGCTGTTCTGTTCTCTGACAATAATAAACAGATAAGTTTATTAGGGTACACAATATTTTGGGGAACACAATATCACCACAGGTTAATTTATTGTTGTTGTTGTTATTTTATTATTGAGACAGGGCCTCACTATGTGGCCCTGGCTGTCCGCAACTTAACAGATATCCACCCACCTCTTCCCTCCCAAGTGCTGGGGTAAAAGGCATGCACCACCATGCCTGGCTTATTAAGTTTTTTTCAGGATACACCACTGTAGAGGTTTGTTTTGGTTATCCTTTCTATAAATGATATGTCATAAAAGAAATACCCTCCCTTGCCTGTAAAAAAAAAAAAACGTTTTGGAACTGGGAGTGTAGTTCAGGGGTAGATTATTTGCACAGTATGTTCAAGGCCCTGGTTTCAATCCCCTACGCCCCCAAAATATTTTTTTTTCTTTTGACAGCTTCTTTATTAGAAGGATATTCACCTTTCAGTGTGATGGCGTCTCCAACCATTAGTTACATTGAATGCTAGTTGGTAATTCTGTACCTCTGAATACCAGCTGAGCCTCTAGGTAATCATGAGTGCCACGCTATCTTTCCAAGCCTTCATTAGTAGTGAGTAACTAACTACCTGGTTCAAGTTAAGTTTCCAAGCCTGCATTGATAGTGAGTAACTACCTGGTTCAAGTTAAGGCACAGCTCATGACTAAAGTGAACTGTCTATTTGGAAAACCAAGGAACGGAACAGTCACAAACACTGTTCAACAGAAAGAAATCAGAAGAGCCATCTTGAGCTTGCTTTTGAGCCTAACTTGGGCTTAAACTGTCGCTGCTCCATTCTTCAGTGAACCATGGTAGCCCAGGACAAGCCCCCCTTCCTGACCATCAGGAGTTGATCTGATTTTACACACACACACACACACACACACACACACACACACACACACACACTCCTACACACTCACTATAATGTTATACACTGCTGCTATTTTTCTTGAAGACCTTAATAATTAGGAAAGAATCTTAACTATTTGTTTTCACTTTTCTCTGGTGCTCTGCATTCCTCTGTGTGGATCCAGTCTTCTGTCTTCCTCTAAGAGTGTCCTTTAACTTTTTCTGTAATTAAATCTTATGATGATGAATCCTTTCAACTTCACTAGCTAAAGGGAAACAGAATGGGGAAACAGAATTTTTCCCATTGTTTTGTGTTTGGAGATAGGATCTCACTATGTAGTCAAGGCTGGCCTTGAACTCACTGGCTTGCTGCTTCAACCTTGCAAGTTCTGGGATACTAGATAATGTCTTAGTTATCATACTATTGCCATGAGAAAACACCTTGACCAAGGCAACTTACAGAAGAAAATTTTGAGGGCCTAACAGTTCCAGAGGGTTGGTCCATGACCACCACAGGTGAGAGCATGGTAGCAGGCAGAGCGCAGCAGCAGCAGCAGCAGCAGCAGCAGCAGCAGCAGCAGCGCTAACTCTCATCTGATCCACAGGCAAGAGGCAGAGAGATACTGGGAATGGTGTGGGGTTTTGAAACCTCCAAGCCCACCCCAGTGACACACCTCCGCTAACAAGGCCATACCTCTTAATTCTTCCTAAGTAAATTATACTAACTGGGACCAAGTACTCAAATATATGAGTCTATGGACGCCATTCTTATTCAAACCACCATAGATAAGTATCACCACTCCCAGCTTCAACTTCATTTCTGAAAGATATTTTTTGCCATGTATAGATTCTAGATTAATATATATTTTTTCCTTTCAGTATGTGAATGATGTTGCTCCATTACCTTCTCATTCACATTGTTTCTGATGTTTAGGTTTTTTGTCTCAATCTTTGTTCCTGTGGATATAGGTCTTTTCTCCTCTGGCAACATGTAAGATTTCTCTCTCTCTCTCTTTTTTCTATTTGTGTTTTTTGAAATTATAATTTAAGCGGGGTGGTCGTGGTGCACGCCTTTAATCCCAGCACTCGGGAGGCAGAGCCAGGTGGATCTCTGTGAGTTTGAGGCCAGCTTGGTCTGTAGAGCAAGATCCAGGACAGGCACCATAACTACACAGAGAAACCCTGTCTCAAAAAACAAAAACAAAAAAATTAGTTATTTTGTTTCCTAGGAAAAGTTTATCATTATACTTCTGTGTTTTTTAATCCCTGATTACTGCTTTAAATTAGCTGTTATATTTGTGTTTAAAGTTTTTGGAACGCAGGGACTTTAGCAGAAGAGAAGAGGCCAGGTAAGATTAGTGATTTAACTGTAGATGCTGATTGGTCAGGGTTCTTTTCTGTAATTAAACACTGTGTATTCGAATGGTTTTGCTTTGTTTTTCTTTGCCTTTTGCAGTATTTTTCTATTTTCTTTACTATGTTTTGTTTCATTGCTATATCCCAAATTCATGATTTTATCTACCACATTATCTTTCTGTGTTCTTATACTCTGTACACATTTGTCTTTCTGTTACATACTACTCATTCTCCTGGCATGTGAATGCACATATACACATATGTGGGAAGTTTTGGTGTTTTCAAAACTGTTGTCTTACATCAGATGTTGGCTTCTTTTTTAGCCGTTCAGAAGCTACTTCAGTCACGGAATGATCTCCAGCCACATTACTGAAAACAGGTACGTTTCCTGGAAAGGAAGTGCAAATGATGGAGAGTTGAAAACGGTGGTGTGAATATGGGGGTATCTAAGTTCAGAGTGTGGGCTGACTCTAGTTACAGCGTAAGAAATTCTTAGTTGTGATTCATTTGTCTTGGTGCTTTGTACTTTTGTATTTGCTTTATTTTCCTGTGATCATTTAGTAAAATGGCTTTTAAATAATAATCTGCTTCAGTCTAAAAGAAAGGAATTTTTGTTCCATCCCTGGCTCAGAGAAAGCAAAATGAAACAGTATCCAACTGCAGGCAGGGAGCATTTTTTTTTAACCTTTTTATTTTTTTATTTAAGTTTTTTCATTTTTATTTATTTATATATTTTTTCTATTATCAGCTTGATACAGTATAAATTCTTATCCTAATAGTGAACTGTTTCACTGAGGCTTGCCCAGTGATTGAGTAAAACCAAAACTTATTATAAGCCACAGTCATCCTAGGGTCCCTTCTGCTATGCAGCCTCCCTGGATCTGTGGGTAAGCAGCATTATTTTGAGGGGGTAAGATGAATTAAACTAAGAACCCAGCACCTTGTGAAAGCTGGGGTGGTGCGGGGTTTCTGGGCATTTCCTTCTGCACCTTTGTCATGTCAGCAGTTTTCTCTGGTGGGCAGAGCAGACAGTTAGATCCTCTGTCTTCCCCCAAGTCCAGTCCAGTCTCACAGACAAACCAAACCATTTCTGTTTAAAGTGTAACTTAGCTTGAATTAAGTTCCAGAAGAAAAATGAGTCATGTGCATTTGCTTTTCTAAATGCTACATGGGAAATTCCCTTGGTGCTCTTGGGAAAGCTCTCTGACTAAACTGTCTGAAGAGGGGCTGGAGAGATGGCTCAGAGGTTAGGAGCACTGGCTGCTCCTCCAGAGGTCCTGAGTTCAATTCCCAGCAACCACATGGTGGCTCACAGCCATCTGCAATGAGATCTGGTGCCCTCTTCTGGCCTGCAGGGACACATGCAGACAGAACACTGTATACATAATAAATAAATCTTTAAAAAAAAATAAAAATAAAAGTAAATAAACTGTCTGAAGGGATTGGCTAGAACACTTTGAGAAGGAGGAGGAAGTGGAAGTCTCCTCAGAGGTGAGGGAAGACGAGGGACTGGCAGGAGGCACATGGGGAGGTGGTGTGATAGGTACCATCGTGGCATCCTTCTCCTCCTCCTGCCCTCCTGAAAGGTACTTAGAAGCTGGTAGCTGCTCTGTTGTCTATTGGATCTGAGTAGTCCAACCACTATGACTCCTTAAAAGCTGTATTTCTGTTATAATTTTACCTTATTAAAAATGGGGGGCAGTGCCATTGCTTGATAGCAGACTCCAGGAACTGATTTTTCAAAAAGGAGGTCTAGTAGGAAGGCATGAACTTAGCAGGAGTATAGTTCTATCCTGGGTGCCTGATCCCCAGGGGTCACTAGGAAGAGTGAGACATCTGACCCCTTCCAAGCCAGCCAGGGACATTGAGTAGATTAGCCTTTGCCCGTCCTATGGTCACAGCACTCAAAGGCCTGCGATCCTGTCCTGGGACCTTGTCTAATTACATTGTGACTTGCTGCTCTAGTCCTCATCGACAGCCATTTGTCCTCTTCGGTAACCACTCGACACGAGACAACCTGACGGCTGGCAGCTTTAACTTCCCTTCTGAGGGCCACCTGGTGCGCAACACCGGTCCTGCGGGGAGCTTTGCCAAGCACATGGTGAGTGGCCAGACTGCCTGCTACTTGATTAATTGTACTGTCTGATAACAAGGGAGAGCTGCTGGCCAAAAGGAACCTTTTTCAGTTATTATGTTGTCTTCATCCTGAATTTGAAGTTGCTTTTACAATGAAAAGAAGAAATTGATAACTCACAAAATATATTTTAATAAGTAGTGGGTGTGAATTTGAAAACATTTGTTTAGTGTGTGTGTGTGTGTGTGTGTGTGTGTGTGTGTGTGTGTGTGTGTGAGTGAGGGTGTGATTTGCAGAGGGGAGAGGGTCACATGTATCACAATACATGTGTGGAAGCCAGAGGACAGATTTTATGGAGCCAGTTCTTTCCTTCTGTCGTCACATGTGTTCCAGGGGTTGAACTCGGGTCATTAGGCCTTATCTACTGAGCCAACCCAACCAACCTCTGATCGGTCTTTATTACATGATGGTGTATTGTTTGCTATATTCTTTAAAAAGAAGCGCCGGGTGGTGGTGGTGCACACCTGTAATCCCAGCACTCGGGAGGCAGAGGCAGGTGGATCTCTGTGAGTTCGAGGCCAGCCTGGTCTACAGAGCTAGTCCACCACAGGCTCCAAAGCTATAGAGAAACCCTGTCTCGAAAAACCAAAAAATAAAAAAATAAAATAAAAAGAAGCTACTGGGTGGTGGTGGCACATGCCTTTAATCCCAGTACTCGGGAGGCAGAGGCAGGTAGATCTCTGTGAGTTCGAGGCCAGCCTGGTTTATAAAGCAAATTCTAGGACATCTAGGACAGCCTGGACTGAGAAATCCTGTCTCAAAGGGAAAAAAAAAAAAAAAAAAGAAGAAGTGTCAGGGGCCAAGGAGATGGCTCAGTGTTTAGATCACCAAAACCCACATAAAAGCCTGACATGGTGGTTAACTGTGTGTGATCCCAGCATGCCCCTGTCAGAAGGTGGGAGGCAGGAACAGGAGATTCCAGAAGCTTGAGGGTTAGCTAGCTAGCCTGGTGTATGCAGCAGCCTGTTTCAAACAAGATGGAAAAGCAGAGACCAACACCTCAAGGTTATTTAAACACATACACCATGGCATGTTTGTGCCTCCACCCACATATAGGAACATGTACAAGCCCCTCCCCCCTTCTCATACGCACATACAAATAAGGGGAACGTTACACTTGAATAGGGGACTCTAATGATTGTCCAAGTCTGCGCTGTCTTAGGAGAATGTTAAGTATTTTCAAATGTTTCTAACAAAGTATTTTTTTAAAACGTTGCAGGAAATTAGGAAAGCTAGAATGGTAGGTGTAGTTAGTTTTAATTAGGATTTTGAGAACACAAGACCCAAGTGAGTATGGTAGCATTTTTGGGCTGAAAACTTGAAAGCCTTGGGCCACCTCCAAGCTAGCTTGGGTTAGACGACTACCAGAATGCATGTGCTGTAGGGTTTTGCTGTCCTGTGGTCCCAGTTAGCGTTAACTGTCAACTTGACACAACATGCAATCAATCAAAAATGGAGTCTCCCTTGAGTAAGTAGCTCTTTTTATCAGACGTGTGGACATGTAAGGGATTGTCTTGTTTATTGATATAGGAGAACCCAGCCCACTGTGGCAGTACCATTTCCTGGAGTAAGGGGCAATCTTGAGCTGCATAAGAAAGTCAGTTAAGCATGAGCCTGTGACCAAGCCAGAGAAGGAGCCTGCAAGCATTGTCCCTCTTTGGTTTCTGCTTTAGGTTCCTGCCTTGACTT